ATGCACAGGGACTTGTTGGTGGGCATGAGACGGAGGGCTTCCGAGAACTTGGCCAGAGAGAGAGAGACGGTCCCCGTCACCCATGCTGACCATTGGGAGCTTGTTCCAGAGAACTCTGCAGGCTTTGGCATCAGTTGGATCTGGGGAGAACAGAGAGGTGTAAAAGCCCTCTCACACATCTCCACCAGATCCATGAGGGAGGTGCCATCCTCCGCCAGAAGGCAGACGATGTGCTTTTTAGCCCCTCCTCTTTTTCTCCAGGGCATAGAAGAAGCAGGAGCCAAAATCCATCTCCCGCGGATGTGAGAACAAAGGCACCCCGGGCCCAAAGGTAGTTAAGGGCCTGGAGTTCCTCCCATTTCTCCCGGTACACCTTGCAGAGGGATGGATCTCTGGGGCCGGTGGCCAGGTGCCTCTCTAGCTCTAAACCCTCCCATTCCAACTGCTCTATCACCGCATCCCTCCGCCGGCTGGCCCCCCTGGATGTAGTTGTGGCAGAAGAGCCACATGCCCACCTTCCCCAAATCCCACCACTGCCATACCCCAATAGGCCGGCCCCGGTCTCTGGGGGGGAAAAGAGGCCGTCATGGCCACCAAGTGGTGGTCCGAGAACGGGGCCGGCCGAATGCTGGAGGAGTGGGCTCGAAATAGATGACGAGAGAGAGAAATGCGGTTCAACTGGGAGTGTAACGACGGCTGATGCTCTACCTGGAGAAAGGTAAACACTGTGCCCTCGCCCAGGTGGAGGTCATACCAGACGTCCACCAGGGAGTGTTGGTCTGTTATTTCCCTGAGGAAACCCGTGGTGGCCGGGCACTGCTCAGTCCCCCTGCAGTCCTGTTCCTTGAGGGTGCAGTTGAAATCTCTGCCTAGGACCAGGCACTTGCGAGGACTCAGAGAACAGAGGAAGGCAGGCGCCCGCTGGTAGAAGTGGAGCCTCTCCGGGCCGAATGTCAGGGCGTAGGTGTTAGTGAGGTTTAATGTCAGCCCCTCCACCTGAACTTGGAGATGCAGCAGGTGGCCCTGCATGACCTCGGCTTGATTGGTTGACTCATAGACTCATAGACTTTAAGGTCAGAAGGGACCATTATGATCATCTAGTCTGACCCCCTGCACAATGCAGGCCACAGAATCTCACCCACCCCTCCTAGAATAATCCTCTCACCTATATCTCAGATATTGAAGCCTTCAAATACTTTGAAGACCCCAAGATGCAGAGAATCCTCCAGCTGTGATCTGTACCCCATGCTACAGAGGAAGGCGAAAAACCTCCAGGGCCTCTGCCAATCTACCCTGGAGGAAAATTCCTTCCCAAC